TGCAGTGGATAGCAGTCCCCTACCACTTGAGGCGAGGGGACTGACAGGAACTCTAAGGACCAGAATTGTGCTGAGATGGGTTTGGAGCATAGCTCCATAGCACAGATTTGGGCATGTTCTCTTGTTGTAGTGCAATGGAGATCGGAATCAGACTGATGGTAGGTAGTAAAGCTAGGAGAGGAATGGAGTATGGCTGTTGTGATAGCTGGTATTTCTATAAATGCATTAATCTCCTAAAATCACTGATAAAGGGGTCAGTTCTACTGTCATTTAATTGCAGGACCTGAAGTGTATAATAGACTGCATGGTACAATGCATACATAGAGCCAGATTAGCAAAGTCATCTTGCTTATCGGATTGCAGGGGAGGAAATCACTTTCATGATGCTGCAACTTTCCATTCTGTTTATTCCATGTTCTCCACAATTTTGCTTTTCCTGCGTTCAACATTTTTTCCTTCCGTTTCCTGTAATTTTTCTCATTGTTTTTCTCCTCTTTCGCAAGTCAAGGTGGAGTCTGGATGTAACTTGTTCTCAGTTTAGTAGTGACTGGAAGTGACTCAGGGCTTCTGGAAAATAAATATGACTCCACTGTATTTGAATTTATTTTAGTTATTGCTTTGTATTTAAAGGTTTCTGTGGCATTTATGTTTGGTTTTGGGAGAGGTTCTTGACTCAGGAGAGTTGATTTTGAACTGAAATAGCAAAAAAAATCTGTTGACTTTATGGTCACATGCATTGTCTCTGCTTGCAGGAGCATTCATTTGACTTCCTGCTAGCCATCCTTTTCCAAAGCATTTCTAAGGCTGGTCATTGTTGTCAAATCGTTACTGATTCTGTTTGTGTGCAGTAGAATATATTCCAGAGAAGTGACTACTTACACTTGCTGCCAAATAAAATCATCAGCGATGCAGGTTAGTTACTAACTTCTTGCTTGCAAGATCATTTTGAAAGAGGCTAGGAACGGAATTATATGCTTTTGCGCTACACTAGTTGTTCAAATTGCCGTTTGCTTTCTTGAACTTAGTCAGGCATGTTTAGATGACAACGAACACCCACTTCCTCCAGTGCTCATCACGGATCGTTACAGCTGCCAGAAGAAACTGAACTGAAAGAACTGTAGAGGAACTAGATTATTTTGTTATTTGACCAATATAGTTAGAATTGGGGATTTTGGAGTTTATTCCAGGTTGAGGTGGATTCAGGTGTCTTAGATCCAATTCTTTGTATTTATAGTAATACATACAGACATATCAAACCAGCAGCAACTGGTCATTTGTTCACAGCATTGTATCTCCCCAGGACAGTGGTTGCAAATATGTGCTCTGCTCTTCCTAGAGTTAGATGCCTTGTGCAAGACTCCCAGAAAATTGATAAGCACATAACTTACTGCCCCTGTGAAGTCAAATGACTTGCTTTAAGTAGTCACATAGTATCACATAAGAACTGGCTTCAGAGGTGCGTCAATAATTTAGGCTGGCCTCTCTGAGCTAGCGGTTTGGTAACAATAACGTGTATATGTTCTTTACCTCTTTGTTTTTGAGCTTGCCCGGAAGATCATGTGATCATGTTGTCAATAACCAAGTTAGCTAGTGTGAAGTTAATCCATGCTCATGAACTCATGCATGAAAGATGCAGCTGCAGCGTACACATCCTGTCTGAAACACAGACAGGAATAGAATCCATTTCCTCAGGGTTTCCTCCAATCCTCTGCAGTGAATAAAGCAGAGTCCCAGTGTCTTATACTACAAAAATCTGCTGCATCTCCAAAGTCCATCCTGTATCCTAAACAAAGGAGAAGCCTCTCAAATAAAGCAGGCCAAAACAAAATAATACTGGACTACATAATTTAAGACTGTCATGAAATGTATGTGCAAGGGGATTGAAGCAAAGTTGCGTAACGAATCTTCTGGTGTTTCCAAACTTCTGATTGTTTCATTGTGCAACCTTAACGATTTTTAGAACTGCTTTTGTGCATACACAGAAGAGATAGGAGGTAACAGGAAAGAGATATAGCAGCATTAAATAGACTAACTTTAGAAGGCAGGTATTTCAGTTGTATACTGAGAAGCAGCTTGGCTTTGTGAAGACCAGTGTGCAAAAGGTGAAGACCTGAGCAACCCCTTGGGAAAAGGGAGACTAAGGATGATGGTATTTTCTGGTCATAACAAGGCAAATTACAAAGGACTGAACTTTGGTTCCCTCCACTGAAAGCCTTCTAGGCTGGCTACAAAGTGGGATATTCCCTTAAGAACTGACAACACTTCCCTGCTTTTAATCTGTGATTTTATTACTCTTACATATAGGCCATACAAAACTGCTGAGAACAGACTCTACCTCTGGTCGCTCCCTGTACTTTTTGAGGCTGACTACAGTAGTGGCAGTGGTACCACCAAAGGGAAAAAAAAAAAAAAAAAACCCACAGGAGCTGCACTTGCAATAAAGGACCTTAGGAAAAGGGAGGAGAGATTCTTGCTGTAGTATAAGGTGAAAACCCTACTGTAAGCTCCCTGAAGCACTACATGGTAAAGTTTAGGATTATAAGTAGTTAGAATCGTAATGTTTGTAACAGGAAAAGCCCATTAAATTATTAACACCCCTCTGATTTCTTCTAGCATGAGATAGCCCGCTGGACAAAATATAACATTGATGCAGCACATGATTTTAGACAAATTGCTTTTTTGCATTATCAGTGGCAGAATTATTTAATAATTTTCTTGTCAAATGTGAATTCTCTGTGCCATGCAGTTAGGTGTTGTAGTGTGAGAGGAGGTTTTCCAGGAACCCCATGGATCTCTCCTGGGTTGTTAGTACAAGGTGGAGCTTCACTTTGCCCCTGGCAGCTGCTCTTCAAAGGGGTATTTCCTCACCTGATGGCTTGTTCACTCTCACTGAAGCTTGCTGCAGGGGAGGAGGGAAATCACCTTTGGAGGGATTCAGAAAAGGGAGAAACCTGCACCTGTAATTGCTGCAGTGGCTTTCAGCTGGCTAGGCTTTTTCCCACCTCCCTAATGGTGACAGTGAGGTTTTTTTCAACGGCTGGTTGCCAGAGTCTGAGGTTGCTGCAGGGTGTGTGGAAGTGGAGGAGAAGGGGTGGCTGCTGCGGTGGGATGTGGGGCTGGGCACCCTACAGCCTTGAGGAGGGGAAGGAGGGACAGTCCCTAGGGCTCAGCTGAAGTCAGGGAGAGCCGATCCGTTCGGTAGCTGGGTGCAGGGAGAGAGCAGCATTTTAGCTTTCTTCGCTTGAGTGAGAGCTAAAAGCTCTCCTCCCCCTGGGAAGTCTTTGATATAAATGAAGAAGGAATTGTGATCAACTAAGATCACATCTATATCTAAATACACAGCATGCTTCTTTATGTTTTTTCTTGCAGATGGGGCACAGCTGAAACAAGCCCCTCTTCCTCAGCCCTGTCGTAAGCAAAACAGTACTGTAATAAGAGGCTTGAACTAACAAGAGCCCAGCTGTAACAGCCTGAACAGTTCTGGTATGAAGCGCTAGGTACCCTTATGCTCTCTTTTTTTTTTTTTTGTCTCTGCAGTTTTGTTTGTGAGATGATTTAAAGCTAAATATCTATGCTATAGACAACTGGTAAGTGAATGCCTCTACTGTATAAAGCATAGCTAGCTCCTGTAAACTGTTGTGTAGACTGAAGGGGTCTTAAGGATGGTGCCAGAACCTATAGGAGTTGGTACACAGAAAATGCTTGTTCCGGAGTTTGCCAGTATTTCTGCTGTGAGACATCTTCTCACTGCCCTCTTGCATTATTTCTAATGGAGGGACTTCCAGCTAACTCCATGCAGGGCCTGTGTGCATTTCCAACTTTAAAACCTACTTTGGGTAAGTACTGAGGGGAGCAGTTGCTGACAGCATTGCTGTTCCATGTAAATGGCCATACATGCTCCAAGGTAGAGCTAGCTATTGCAATACATCAGCATGCTGTTCCCTGAAAGCATTCGAGGAGTTGATAAAACTTCCACAGGGTTGGAACCTGCCTCTACAAGCCTTCTTTAAGACGAATAAAATTATAATTGGTTTGAGCTGATGAGATGGGATGGCCCAGGGCTTTCTCAGAGGTCCTTATGAACTGCCTGGTAAAATTAACATTGCTGTGCAACATATATTTGATTACCACTGAAGATGCGTGGCAGCAATTAGTGCTCTCTCCCTTCTAGCTCTGTGTGGTGCTGAGCAGACGTGAGTGAAGTCGAAGCCGCTGCTGCTGACGTTTGGCCTATGTGTAGCATTTTAGTGCACTTCAAAAACACTGCCAATACTTAGAACTTCCTGTGCTGGAGGAAAGGAGAGATTAAGAGATTTGCCAGAGACTGCGGGCAGGCAATGCCAGGACGAGAGCCTGAATTCCGACAGGTCTCAGCACTGACTGCAGAGTAGCCTCCCTCTCCCGCCCCCCCGGTGGCGTTTCCTAGAAGGATGGAAATAGCAGCCTTGCAGCGCCTCCGGAGCACGGCCCGCTCGGCAGCGAGGCGCGCAGCCCCCCGCGGGCGGAGC